AATTGTGCTTCGATCCCGTTTCAATAGTCTGGCTGGTGTTGGCTTTTTTCGTATACAGCCGTTCACAGCAAGTCCTTTTCCGTTGACATTTTGGGATATTGTTAAGTTGGTTAAGCAGCTTTAATCCATTTGTAACCGCTTAGCTCTCAAAGCATCTCCGGCGACCTCATAAGTCATTTAAAGCTGGAAATAAGGAAAAGAGTCCTAGACACTCAGCATGAAGGTTGATTCACTGAATTTTATGCCGGACAGGTTGATTGGGGAAACCTTTAGTTTGACATATCGGTGAGTCTAGATATGTTCTTGCGGTAGCCATGTTGCATGACGATTGACTACAGGTAGTGCAGCATTTTGAAGTTGTAAAATCTATAAGCTCCTGCTTGGGATTTATTTCATTCGACAGGCGTCATATTTCCAATTACAGTTATCATAACTCCCTTTGGTGAAACCGTTCCCGTGCATGAAATTGTTATTCATAACGACGTTTCTTGAATTATTCATTGATTTCATTGAACAGACATTTTGTTTGGGAAACAGAAGACACACCTAATATCCGTGGTTCCTCTGACTGGTTCTGCATTGGCTTTACGATCCGATTCGGAATTGAACTTTTAGCTTAGTTTAAATTGTTTAAATGCATGTTTTGGATGAGTGGGTGTCCAATCACTTCATGGAACCCATTAAAATTCTCAGTATTGCCACAGTCGATTTTTATTGAACTCTAACACAAGCCTTACTGCCAATCAGTGACATTCATATTCCCTTCTCGTGCTTTAATTTAAGAGAAATGCATTGCGTCTTTTGATATATTCCCATTAATCGTACTAAAAAAGACGTATTTCCTGCAAAACACTTATCTTTGTGACTGACCTCAAGCGTCCATTGCTTTGCAAGGTCTATTCCTGGTACTTTCCATGTCGTTTATGTCATCATGCTTTTAAATTTGACAGTCTTATCGGTCCCCCTTTGTTTTTAAATTCGTCCAGTTTCCGATCTTTCATAACCTCTCTGTTGACCTTAACTTTGCCAAAATAGAGTGCGAGTTCATTCGATCCGATGCAATTGAACTGCCTTAACGTATAGATGCTCCATTTCCAATAGTCACTTTCTTCCTGGAGCCAATCTACTGGCTTCCTTCATAATTGTCAAGCAGACGATTGGCCTCACTTTTTTAGCGGGTTACTTGGAGCCCCTTTACGCGCTGGGCAACTGCACAGCACAGTTGGACGTGGTGGTCAGTTTGGCGGTTGCTGCGGTTTCGGCACCTAAGCCTTACGTGCGTCCCCACGTTAAGGCACACCAGCCCAATGGTAGTGGCGGCATTCACATACTCGACTTTCGTCATCCCTGCCTCGAGTTTCAGGACACTGTCTCTGTCATTCCCAATGACGTCCATCTTGAACGCGGTAATTATTTTCTAAACATTTCAGAAATGTTTGATCTGTTTAAGGTTAACTTCGAAAGCTTCTTTGCCCTAATTTTCTAAGTAGTATTTATTTTTTCATTAAAGACGACCCTTGGGAAAGCGCCGTCTCCTTAGATTGTCGACTTGATTTTGCACGTGTTACTCTTACGCCACCAATTTTGTTGATGCCTAATGGTGGGGATTGTTTTACAAAAACGCGATTTCTTGTTACCTTTAAAGCATTGCTGACTCAGTGCGTTAAGGGAGTATAATTGCTGTTTTTTTGACATACGAACTCTGTTAGTTAAACGTTTACTATATTTTGTGCCAG